AAATTAGATAGAAAACAAAACCAAAATCACCCCTTGTATTTTAGATTTGTTTCCAATGTTTTAGTTCGTATGTAGATAAAAATAATGAATGTATTTTTGTGTTGTTCCATAATAACATGTTCTTCATATGCATGAATTAAACAGAAATCATATTTATATTGTCAAAAGTCATCCAAACAATTCAAAATTTAAAAACAATTTCTTCCTAACAGCTAATGGCCATTCACATAGATTACTATCAAGCTGAACCTCGTGACGTGAGTAACTTAATGTCAACGAAACGTCAAAATTTTCTCTAAGAAAAAAGATATTGGTAGCTGATAGATAGTGTGTAAAATAAATTGAATGGGTTGGACTGGGAAAATGTACTATTCTCATTGTAACTCAATGTAGCCTAGGGTATAAAAATAATACTTTGGTGCCAATCGTTACTTAGAAAAATAGCAAAATGAGCTAAAGCTAATGCTTAGCATTAGAATGATTTCTTATACGTACATACAAGACTTTACGCTCTTGCAGACTTGGATAGTCTACTATACTATATACTCTTCATAGCTCTTTGTATTCATCGAGGGCTTTTGACTTAACTTTTTTTAATATTATATGCTTAATTTACCTCTGATATATATGAAAATCGATTAAGAGTTCTATGTATGGAAGTTGACAGGGACAAGAGAAGAGGACGACCAAAAAAAAGATGGATGGACTGTGTAGAAGAGGATATGGCTAGAAAGGGAGTAAGCAGGGAAATGATGAATGATAGAGTAGTATGGAAGAATAAAACATATTGCGCCGACCCTAAATAAAAATTGGGACACGGGCAGGAAGAAGAAGATATATGAAAATCGATTACGACATCTCTTCAGAAATATCGATATCGTATCGATAAAAGCACTTAGTTATCGGAACATCCCTAATATAAAGATAGTTTTGAATTGCACTTACAGGTCAGGTTTGCCAGTTTCCAACATTTCTGTCGCGTCTCCTGCAAATAAAAAAATGTCTTAAAAACATAAAAGGTAAAATTCATATTATAAGATAACTAGCGACTTACCCCGGTTCGCTTGGGGTTCGAGAAAACACTAGTTTTCATTCATATCCTAGAAGCGCCTCTAGCGGTAACTAACGCAAACAAAAACCGATGGAACTTAAATCTTCTACAAAAAACTTTATACTAAAACTACCTATGCTTACTTCTTAAACATCAAGCCATAACATAAAATGACATACATACATACATATTTGTCTCATTTTCACACACTTTCCTTGTGGGAGCGGAGAAAATGTCTTTTTTCCAAACGATTTTTTTTTTCAAATACTTTAGCTTATTTAACAGAACAATTGTTTAGTCTCTTGGGATTTTCTCAGGAGAAGTACATTCAGAAACAGTGGTGTCTCACAGACTGATAACAATAACTACATATTATTTTTAAATCAACCTGACAATAGGAAATATGAGTGTGATTTAAAGTATCCGTATCGTTATGAATTTTTTTTATACAAAATTTTAATTTTTTGGAGCTGGATATTTTCTTAAAATTTTATAACGATGTTAGTTATAATATAAAAAAATATAAAAAAAACACGCATATTCTTTATTCAAGAGAATGATACTTAAAAATTCGCAATTGAATAAAGTACATTTCTGTTAGTATTTTGAGTTGGTGATACTAAAGCGAAACGATGACCGTCAAAAGAAATATTTTAAATATGTAAATCCTCCTTTGAAATATTGCTGATAAAAATAGCAAGTTTCATGGCAACAGCTAACCACAGATAAGTTATCAATCGCACTTTTGAATCTCATGCCGCGTGAAGCATCCTTTCATATACATATATATTTAAGTACATTACATTTAATTTAAATATTGACTTACTTAAATTTACCGTACAAAAGTCTACATACATATACTAGCGACTCACCCTCGTTCCGCTCGGGTTCTGCCTTACTTACGTTTTAACGTTTAGTATAGATTTCTCAGAAATAAGATATTTTCCCGCAACAAAAAGTATCCTATATGTTGACCCAGATAATCAGCTATCATCATACTAAATTTCATCAAAATCCATCCAGTAGTTTTTCTGTGATGCGGTAACAGACAGACAAACAAAAAAATTCTAAAAACTATAGATTCAGCCTCTGTATCGATAATAATGTCTATTTCAATAAGATTTTCCAAAAAATATTTCATGTACAGATTTGGCTCAGTTAGAACTTTATTATATGTATAGATAAAGTATATTAAAGTTTGAGCTTATGCTTACAAAAAAATGTCTGTCTGTGATTTTAAATTAGCTTACCCTTATTGAAGTCATTATTTTATGCCATGACAATATTTTGCTTATAACTCCACTTACCTATACCAGTTCAAAAAATAAGGAATAAAATGCAAAAAGATTTTTATAAATACGCCTGATAGTTCCAGTGATTAGAGTGTACAAACAAACAAATAATCAAAATAATAGCTTTATTATATAATAGCATAGATTAATAATAATATGTAGGGATGGTGATTCTCAAAAGGGCTTTTGATAAGTTTTTTTATGTGTAGGTAAGCATTTAATTTAAAAAAACTAAGGAAGTTTCACTACTTTTTTTAATGAATAAAATGATATTTTAGCTTAATTGTTCATAATTATCATTACATTGTCTACCTTTAAAAAAACGTGACTAAAAGAAGAAGTTTTTTTTAAATAAATTTTAGTGTTTACACAACCCTACTTATCCCTAAGCAGCTTATATTTTATCAAACCAATAAGTTTATGGTATATGATTTAAATTAAAGTAGTGACGATAAATGTTATGAAATCAATTATTTCTATGATATCCAAGTGTTTCTATGTCTTAATATTTTAGCAATTTTTACATAAATAGCCAAAAAAAATCATAAAAAGCAAAAAATTTTTGGTCTACTTTCACTGGCAGATAACAGATGTTATAAGGAGTAGCTTAAACTATTTTAATTTTAGAAAAGGAATTAGGATTCCTCTCAAAAAAATTACAACATACCTAGGAACACACCTGAACGAAGGAAGGATTAATCTCTAGTAGTGAATAAAAAATGTATACTATAATTTATTAATATTATATTTGTATATAAGCATATATTTTAATATATATTTCAATTGTATCTAGTTTTGCATGTCCATTAAAATATATAAAGTAATTAAATTTTTCTATTGCATGGAATTAATCAATATTTAAGAATTATTTGTACCACCAAAATAAAATAGGTAATAAAATGTAAGATGTGTCATGCGTATGTAACAAATATTTTGACAGAAATATATGTATGATCTCTACATTTTAATGAAATCAAGACCAGTTATAGTAGAAAGAAGCAATAGACACCTCTCTACTGACTGACTCACTCACTTACTCATAAGTAAAGGGGATAAAGTAAAGAATTATTGCTAGTAATCTGTGAATTGCCATAGCTTATTAGTTATCTATATTATGCTATTATCTTTTAGAGGGCTGTACAAAAATTATTATATATTCATTTTTCAAAGGATGCATGTTTAATTTATAGAAGCGTTTATTAGTTTTTATATTTTTCTCATTCAACATCTCTATTTAGAAGTAATTATATAATTTCAATAATTCTATATATTTACAAGGTTTTCAATATTTGTTTAAAACTTTATGATAATAAATAAAATAATAGAATATGTAAAACAAACTAGCCTACCAATATGTCATTTTCTTTGAATCTTATATATAAAAGTCTAGTGAATTTGTGCACTTACTTGAAGCCATTGCATTGAACTGTCAAATGACTATCATGATCTTCAAAATTTTGAACCTGAAAAGGAATTGTATAAGTTTATTTTTAATTACATTTTTATCTAAGTTATGAGTAGTATTTCCGTTATAATAAAAGTAGGATACATTTTTAATGTTCAAGCAATACCCAACTATATACTCATTCATTCACGCATTTAAATATTTTTGATAGTTAAATGAAAAAGTAAATAAATAGAAAAAATAAATATGATTAAAAAAACCTTCTAGCATCAACTTTTACTTTCAAACCGGAATATTTTATTGACAATTTATGAATAATCTGTCAAATTGTGAAAGTGTATATATAGTTTTAAAAACAAATCATAACAACAGGAGAAACTTACGTAGCTGATCTATCAATGTTATTGAACTTTAAATAGAACACAAACACAGCACAAACGCTAATAAATCGCGTAAAAGATAATTTTTTAATAACACTCCCACCGTTTTGATTTTACAAACAAAGGACAGCATTAAAACTTTTCTAATTATACGGAAGGAAAGAAAAAATTAGTCACTTAATTTAACAATATACATCATTGTATAATATGATAACCGAAAAGTAATTCAATATTCATTAGAATTAGATACGAATACAATGGTTTGATCATTGATGTCATTGTGCATTTGTCATTTGACAATTGACATAACGTAAATGTCTAAAGTCAGCTGTCGGAAGCGTTTGGATTTTGTACAACACAATTTTTACATATTTAAAAATAGAATTTTGAAATATAATAACAACATACCAAAATATTAATTAAAAATTTAAAAACATAAAACTTCGCATGAAATCATAAGAATATAATATATGAACTACTAATACCGTAATTATTCCACGAGCTATAATTTATCGTTAACTAGCCACATAACTTTGATATGATTCTTGATCTTTAATTAGGTTTTCGTGTAAAATTGATATTTGTATTAAAGTTATCTACAGAAGAAGAGCATATAATCCCAGAATATGATAGGAAACATACTATTTATCGATATATTTTTTGTATTATTGTAATTATATTTAATCGATTATAGTCGACTTACAGTACATATATAATTTTAAATTAATGGAGCATCACTAGTTGGCAATTTCCATTATCAATTTGTCAAATGATTTGTTGACGCATGAATAGTTTTGATTTTTGGGTGCAGTTTCCGGATTTAAGCCATTTGAGTTTATTTTAGTTAATAATTTAATTTGTTTATAATTATAATGTCCGGCCAAAATGTAAACGTGTGCGATATCGGGGATGAAGTAAAAGAAGTCTTGAAAAAGTTTCGTTTTCAGAAACATACTTCTAACAGCGCTTTAATATTGAAGGTACATATATACATACATTATTTTTTAATTTACATTAAAACAGTTTGTTTGTTATATATTCATGATGTAAGATTAATATAAATGTTAATCTTACTGGTTTTATATCAAATTTTTAATTAGAATTTTTTAATATCAATTATCAATTTAAGTACTTTTGGATTTTATTTTGGAATCAAATAGGTATTTAGGGATTCATTAACAATTATTTGTCAAACCAAATCAATTTGGTAATTCGATATGACAACATTTTATGTAATTCTTTATCTGATCTTCTTTATCTTTAGATATAAATATTTATTATTACAAACTTGAAAAAGTATAAAAATATTGCTGTTATTGTTTTATTGCTTAAATTTTTTAAGAATAAATAATTTTTTAATAGTCTGAGTGGAGGAAAACTTTAAGAATTACATATCACATTAAATTAATTTGGTCCCAAAGATGGATACAACCATATAAGGATATTATAATATGCACACAGCACATATTTATCTATACATATTATAATTAAATTCTAACTGAGCCGAATCTGTACATTAAATATTTTTTGGAAAATCTTATTCAAATAAAAATTATTATCGATACAGAGGTTGAATCTATAGTTTTTAGAATTTTTGTCTGTCTGTCTGTTACCGCATCACAGAAAAACCACTGGAGGGATTTTGATGAAATTTGCTATGGTGATAGCTGGTTATCCGGGTCAACATATAGGATACTTTTTACTGCAGGAAAATATCCCATCTTTGAGAAATCTATACTAAACGTTAAAATTTAAGTAGGGACGAACCCGAGCGAAGCGAGCTTGAGTCACTAGTATTTTATAAATACAAAAATTATGTTCTTTCTAATGCTTTGAGTGTGATAAAATAGCTATTATTTTTTTGAATTATTATGAGTATAGGGTTATAGGAGTCGGAGAGAGAAAGCACAAAATGAATCAGACTGAAAGGCTATTTTTAAGGCGACCAACAGCAATAAAACTTAGGTGTTAATGTATAGTTTTGTTTTGACTAAACAATATTACAAAAATTAACTTTTTACTCTTTAATATTCCAGGTTAATAGAGAAAAACAGGCGCTGGAAGTAGATGAACAGTTAGAGAATGTAGAGTTAGAGGAGCTCCAGGATATTTTGCCCTCGCACCAACCTAGGTTTATTGTGTATAGGTATGCCAATTTCAATATATTGTTATTCTTTATGCTGAGAGTTCTGTCTGTAGCTTGCACATCACTTGCACAAAATTTTAATGTGTTTATGTTTTTTATTGCAATTAACATATATATTGTGAAAATAAATATAAAAAATATATTATAAATAGATACAGAAGTACTTATATTAAATTATTAGAAAGGCTCTTACAATATAAACAGCTTAACTTATATACAGGAGATATATCTATATATACTGATATTGTTGCCTTTGTGTTCATTTGTTCAAACTTATACATACTCGTTTCACTTTACAGTAGAGTTGTTCCTCTAATTTAAAAACAAAGCTTTTTTTCTAAGTTTTATACATGTGTATAGATAAAATACATTTTTACAGCTTTAAAATTAACAATTCTTTATTAATAACTCTTGGTTTACCAAGTTTTAGTGTTTACTTGTTTGGATAAATAAGCACGGACACCACCATATGATTATGACAATATTACAGCAATTATAATGTTTGCGAGGATGATTGTAAATTGAGTTATTTGTTAAAATTTCATATTTAACATTATAAATAATGTTAAAATTCAGGCTTTTAAATGAAATTTTTTTTTTTATTATTTCACGGGTTTATTTTGATTTTTGATACTCGACGTTGCGAATGCTTCACAGCGCACATAGTCACGAAAGACTAAAGTTTTAGACGTCTCAAAGGCATTATATAGTTGTTATGTCTCTAACTACCTGCCTACTAACAAAAGAAAAAAATCCGAAAAGATAGTTTTATTTAAAATGTCAAATATTCGCGTAAATCTAAGAAAGTATAATTATTAGTAAGTTGGGGGTTAAAAACAATGAAGAATCTTATCCTTGATTAATAATGTTTCAGTTACAAAATGGAGCATAACGATGGACGGACTTCCTTCCCAATGTGCTTCATCTTCTATACGCCACGAGATGCTCATATGGAACTTCAGGTACAAAATCTTCTTACTGCAGATCCCATTACCCTATGTTTTGATGGGTTTTCTTACTACAGATAGATATTTGACATCAGTTCCATACATATTTTGTCAAATACCTATCTTTTATAAGGAGTACTATTAAAAAAGAGGTTATTAGTATTTAATTTTAATTGGTTGACAAACAAAAAAGCAGTCATTAGAACCGCCGACAGAAGTGAAAAGTTAAAACTATAAAAAACCTTAAAAAAGAATTGAAACCGACTTCCAGGCACTAAAATGTAAAAAAAAAACTAAAAGAGGTTTTCATTTAGAATATATACCTAATCAGATATTTTCGAAGTCGGTGCCAGCTGATGCAAAGCAAATCTAATATATTTCGATACGTAAAATACATATTTACCTATTAGATATTCATATCTTAAAATATTGTCGGCTGGCACCGACTTCGAAAATATCTGATTAGGTATCTATTCTAAATGAAAACCTCCGTTTAGTTATTTTTTACATTTTAGTGCCTGGAAGTCGGTTTCTATTTTTTTTTTAAGTTTTTATTTTTCCACTTTTAGTGTAGACGTAATAAGTAGGTAATTTGTAAGAAGAAAGTTTTTTAATAACATATTCGATTAAACAATTTATTTAAAAATTATATTTATTGTTGATTTTTTAAAAAACCGCTCGACCGATTTCGATAAAATTTATATGGGACCACCTGGGAAGTATACGCTTTGAAACAAATTTTTTTTTTCAAATCGGTTAAGGCGTTTTCGAGTAATCGGTGAACATACATAAAAAAAGAAAAAAAAAGATTCCGACGAATTGAGAACCTCCTTTTTTTGGGAAGTCGTTTAATAAACAGTTGTTATTTTTGTATTATATTCAAATTAATTGTTTGATCTTAAATTAAAGCTGTTTACATTTATCTGGTCTTAACATCTGTCGGCACTCCGGGTGTTAGCGTTAACACGTCACGTGACCATGTCGATGACGACTTACACGAATTTACCCCCCATCTAAAAAAACCTGCCTATAGAAGTTTTCACTCCAAAAAAAAGACATATATTTTCATTGTAATGCAAATCTAAACGTAATTATCTAAAATAAAATTAAAATATGTTTAATTCTCTGACAAATAATTGCCACAACTAGGTCAGCGTGATTGGATTATGGCCTGATCATACTCCTATTGAAGGCGTGCCCACGCCCAGCAGTGGGTCTTTAAAAGGGATGAACAGAATATTAATAGGATCTTATATTACTTCCAGGTAATGTACGCAGGCACTCAACGTGCGCTGGCAGCGGCCGTCGGTGCGCCGCGCCTTCTGGAGGTGAGGGAGATAGACGAACTGACAAACGAGTGGCTCAATGAAAAACTACGTAAATAAACACATATACATACATACATACTGCCAGATGTGTTTGTGTAAGTTATAGTTGATCCATGTTATGTATAGGTTATATACAGGGTGGAGACTTTTTTAAGTTGTAACAATCTTTTTTTTTTGACAATATTTGTTTTGTTTATTAATAATATATTATATAATAATAGGTATTTCAAAGCAAAATCAGATTAGATTAATATTAAAACAATTTTTTTTTGCTTTTAAAATTGTATGCTAATAATTTTACATTTGTATCGATTTTTTTTCTATGCGGTTTCTATTCTAAGATGGCATTGGCTACCCGCCGCCATTTTATTTATTTTTCAAAGTAACGGCGCACAATGACAGAAGTATGTGCGTATAGAGGGCGCTTAAATAAACAAAAAATAGATCTGTATAGTTCTGTAAAGTGTCAAGTTTCAGAGACATTTTAAATGTGGTAAGTATTCATTGAATACATCTATATATACATACTAGCGGACCCGACAGACGTTGTCCTGTCTACACGTCTTTAATTTGAAAATTTCAAACTTTTTTTAATATATTATTTTCTATTAAAAAAATTGTGAATCTAAACCATTCCCAGATCCCCTTGAACACACACAAAAAAATTAATCAAAATCGGTCCAGTCGTTTGAGAGAAGTTCAGCGACATACAAATTCACAGAAGAATTATATATATAAAGATAATATACATTTTCAATTAGTTCGTTTGTGATTATTATCGTTTGGTTCTTGTGAAGATTTGTACCTTTATCTTGGCAGAAAATTTTTTTCTTTTATATTTTATATATTTGTCTTCTATTCATATATGTATATTATATACCAGTTTTATTGTGCGCTGCAAAAGAAATAAAATGGCCGGAGGTTCGTAGTGCCATAAAGATTTCATTCTCTTTGTTACGCTATTATATTATTTTATATAACAGTATTAAATGGAAGGCAGTGACAGTTTGTGGTAACGCGGTCGCTTGACAAATTGAGTGTAGTGGGTTCAAATCCCGGGTCTCCCACCTCTGATATTCTCATGTGCGAATCATTTCTAACTTGATTACCACTTGTCTTATGATGAAAGAAAACATTGTGAGGAAACCTGCATGTCTGAGAGAGCCTAGCAAGTTGTCTGCAGACACGCTCAGTCCCCACGCACTCAGCCCGCGTGGGGGACTGTGGCCTGATCCCACTCGTATTAATGACAGGCCCACCCCCAGCATGGGACGTTAAAAATTACAAGTATTATAATGTTAATAATATAAGATGAAGTATTTTAATTACTTACCAAAATATCCACCCTGTATGTAATAATATTATTAAAAAAAAACATATTTGCCTTCTGCTAGTTTGAAGTACCGTAATAAAAATATAGTTATTATTAATGCCTAATGTCAGATTAAAGAATAATATGGACAGAGTGTCCTAGAACTAAACATGAAGCCAAATAACAATGTTTTAAGGATGCAAATGATATTTTGTATATTGAGTGAAAAGTAAAAAAAAATAATTAATCAAAATTGTTAACGGATTTTATTATAATAGGTTTTTTTATGAATAACATTTTCCTTATTCTTTAAACCAAGTAAACGATCTGTATAGCATTATCGAGAATTGTAGCATAAACAGCCAATCACGCTACTATTTTTGACTTTGACGTTTATTTTGGCGGGCTCCGTCTATATTTTTTTTAATCTGAGTATCTAATAGATAAATGCTGTTTCAAAAGAGTATAGTGTGTATGTTATATTAAAATGTATACAAAATATTATTTTTTTTTTTATGGAAAATCATACACGTAGAGTATGGACTGAGAAATACTGTCATGAATTTGACAACTATCTAGAAAGAGATAAAGTGAACGTGCGGCCAAAACCAATTTGAATTTACATATAAATGAAATATGAAAAAATTATAATATTATTGAAAATTATAATATTATAATGGAATGTAAAATCGTTGTAAATATCTATCTACGTATTTCAATGAATACAGAAGACTTCTGGCCGCACATTAGTTTTGTCTCTGTCGCGCCTTTCTGCCATTTTTAGCTGACGGCTGGCAAAGAAACAGTCCACTCTCTATGTCTATGAGTAAAATGTAGTTTTTTTTTAATCTATGAAAAACTATTCATTGCCATTAGAATTATGTATATAGATGAAAATAAGTAATAACTTATCATAATTTATATTATAAAGCTAAATTATGCCAAAATGCAAAATATGCAATACTTTTCAAGGACTTAGGTTATATAGGATGTTTTAGGAATGCTAAAATAGTTTAAATAAAACTATTTTTTATTTAGATACTTCGGTGCCATTTTGGAAATTTTCGTAACATTCACATTTGCATTCGAAACGTCGGGAACTTAAAGTCAAAATAAATCCGCGAAAAAGTCCGAAAAGATAGTTTTATTTAAAATGTCAAATATTCGCTTAAATCTAAGAAAGTATTATGATAAAATATTTTTTATTTATATATAAGTACTCGTTTAAGTAGTGGATGTGTTATGTCAGATTATGTATAATAAAAGATTTAAAAAAAAAGATCGAACTAATGGAATGAGATCAGTAATAGTGAGAATATATCAGTGGTCAAAACATATTTTATTTGATTGATATACAAAAATTCAAGATACATAATTATTAGCGTGATAAAAGTGTCCTCAAAAAATGCACAATTCGAAATTGAATTGTGCTTTTTTCAAATCTCTTTCGTTCATTGCTTTTAAGATGACAAAATTAAAACGCACGTTGTTTCGTTCGAAAAAGTACTCTATGCGGTGTGCGTAAGTTCGAATTTGTGTTTAGAACAATAAGAACTTTTGATTTTTCAATTTTAATCTTTGGTTTGACTTAACGTCACATACGACACTTTTTGAAGAGTTATTTGTTAGGAAATGTGTATCTATGTTATTATGTGTCAATGGTATACTAATAATATGGTTTTTTTCATTATCATCATTAGCCACTCTTTTATGGTTATATTATAATATGCCCCAAAAAACAAAAAGTTTAAAAAAAAAGTAATATAAAGAGCGTATGAACCAAATATAAATTTTATATTAATAAGTGTCTCGAACGGCATTGCACATTAAAAGTTCAATAATGCATTTTAGTATAATAAAAAGTAATTATAAACAAACAATTTGTAATATTGTATCAGTATAGAGTGTTATTGGCAGAGTTAATTGTGAAACGAATATTTTTTTCAAAATCGATATTAAACAAACCATATTAATATGAGTATCTAAATATACAGCCTGTATAGCAAAGTTTATCCACAGTCTACTGATCCATACAGTCGTCAACAAAGGCGTCTAGACAGGGGAATCGTAAGTGAGGAGGCGCACCCGACTGGCGTACGTACTTTTGTATGACACTCGGGAGACTGCTTTAGGGTTAGTTGATATAAATGTTATACTATATATATTTTGCCACGAAATAAAAATACAGTGTTTTTAGTTCCAAACCGTTCGCCATGATTTTTATAAACCCTTCCTTTTGATAGAATTTCTGCATGGATTTTTTTATGCTGTGGTAAAACATTCATCTGGCGTGACAGGGGACTGACATGTCAGAGAGATTTTGCTATTTCTTGTCATTTTGCTTATTAACTTAAATTTACGAACTAATTTTTGCCCACGGTTGCGCTTGCCTGATACATAAATAAAAATTTCCCACGTCTGTCAATTGTCCTCAATAGAACAGATATTTCAATGTTTATAGTTGTTACATATACATATAAAAAATTCATACAAAAAATATTTGTCTGACAAAAAATTTTTCAAGCACTTAACAGGGTAGTCTATATAATTATAATTTATTAAATAAATTAACTTTTAATAGCTCTTTTCCTTCAGTTACCTAAGCATTATAATAAAAAGTTTTTTTATTTTTATATACCAATTTTATGTGTATTATTGTAAGAATATCTTTTTAAGTAGCCCATACTTTATGAATTAGACTTTTAGAGCTAGACTTCATAAAAGAAGAAATATAAGGTAAAATGTTGAGAGTCTATTATATTCTTTGATGTGCCAGGGGACTGATTTATTGAGAGTTTTTATTTTTATTTTAATATTTCTCAAAATTTGTCTAAGAGTAACGATATTGTTAATTTTCCATATAATGGTAATTATTATTTTTCATATAAACTTCTGCCTCCCGTTTCAAACATCTAAGGGCCTCTACCCACGATAATTTTAACGAATGCAAGTAAACTGCGTTTTCTGAGTTTATTAGTGATATGCACGTTTACGTAACATTGTATCCAGGTAGGTGTAAGCACTTAGGGGGTGAATTTAATGAAAGATTTCTTTATTATTTTATTAACTAATAAAAACTGTCAAAAATGTTAGACCCTATTTATTTTTAATTTTTATTTCTATGTAGCGGCTATGGAGTATCACTACAACCATTTCTAACCTATTGTATTTACTGCATATTAAACTAAAGTAACCCACTAAACCCTGCCGCTGTTATGAACTGCAGGATTTGTTTAGGGGTAACACTCCATAATTTCATATGGGCCTAGAATTTTTTTCCCAACCCACAAGAGGTCCAAACTACGCCAGAAGATGGAGTGGCATTTCATCTACCTCCATACATTTTCTGTATGTTTGTGTGTCACTCAGTTCTATGTTGAACATGTGCTTGTTTAAGTAGCCAGGGTCCTGTGAGAACTCTTTCTAGTAGGCGTAATGTTAGTCTCTAGATCCAATATGTCCTGAGGTTTTATTATTTAGATATATTATACATCTCTACTAATTTACATATATTAGTGTTATATTAAAGAGACATTTGTATGTTTTTTGTATGTTTGTTCGCACGATGCATTTTCTATGGAACATGACATTTTTATAGTGATGTAAGCATTTATAGTGTATATTAGTTTTAAGAAAACACGCTTGTGAGTTTTGATATATTTTATTTATAACAATATTTTGTGTATATCTGATTGTAACAATAAACTATACAAGAATAGATACATTTTTTTAATTATATATTGATTCTTCAATCCTTATAAATAGTTTTTAAAAATAAAAGAACTTGGCTATTTTGTGCTTTACTTGTATTTTTAACTAATAATATTGTTAATGAAATTTTTTATTCGTCACAGATTATTTCTCAACAGTTTTCTTAATTTGTATAATAAAATTTGATTTGGTATAATTTCAGTGACCCAGTGATAAAATAAGTTGGCTCTACTGGCAGCAGTTGTCTCTACTGGCAGGCCTGACTGTCAGATATATATTTTTTTTAATTTAATCATTTATTTCAGACAATATTTACTAAAAGATCTTAAACATGTACACAGAGACCCATAACATATATACCTTAAAATATATAAATTTTAAAACTTAAAAAGTTATTGATATCTGAAAAAATGAAATAGTTTATCGGCTATAGATAGGTCTAGAGAAGTGTCCGAGCAAAGCGACGGAAAGTCGCTAGTTTTTCATTTAATATTCACTGAAATATTTGTGGCATAACAAAAATAAACTAACGTATATATGGAATAAATAAAATTATAAAAATATTTTATTTAATTAACATAAAGCTAGACTTCCTTAACAAATTTAATATACGCACATTATCTACAATACAATAAACCTACTATTAAATGCTCAATCGTCATTCAACAGATAAAAATTACTTATCTCGCGTAAATTCGTTAGTGGCTATATACCTTGCCTGTCCGTGACCACGGCAAAAAAAAATTTATAATCGCAAAAAAAAAATAATTCAGATTTTTCACTTTACTTGTGCTATAAGACATTGTTTCTTGATAAATTTCATGATTCTAGATCAACGTAAAGTACACTATAGATTTTGATTAACTTCCGAATGTCAAACAAAATATGTGGTATAAACGGTCGAATCTTTTGATTGCGTTGACTTAGAAGTTAGGTTTTTTCATAGCTCCAAGGGATTGCAGACCACAGTATTTGATATTAATTTCAACTTGATAAATTCACGCATTCCTGAGAAGAAAGGTTTCGACAGACTGATAGGCAGACGGACGGACAACGAAGTGATCCTATAAGGGTTCCTTTTAAGGTGCGGGTCCCTAAAACAGGGCCTTAATAGATCAGGAACCCTCGAAATTATTTCAGCGTGTTTTAAAACCTTATCAAATTTAATGCCCATGAGTTTAGCAGTCAAAGTACTACATTCCTTTAGATCTATGCCTTGCTTCATCATATCTGAGTAGAGCAGTTCCGCCAACGTCTCGTACCCGCACTTCTCCGCCAGTACTTGCGACGTGATTGCCGTAAACACCGTGCAAGCAGCTTTTATACTAAATGCCTTGCACAATTTTGTTCTCTGTAATTGAAAATTATAGTCTGTTATTATAAATGCGAGTATGTGTATGTTTGTTTCTGTTTCACCCAGAAACGGTTGGAATAATTTTGATGTTTAGTGCTCAGATAAACGACAAAACCTTGTTTATGCCAAACATCGAAATCTCTTTATAATTGTAGTGAAGTGTTTAGTATGATAAGGTTACAAACAGACGGATAGAGTTACTTTCACATTTATAATATTAGTATTGCAATTGTTAACCGACTTCCAAAAAGGAGGATATATCAATACGTCGGATTTTTTTCTTTTTTTACGTATATTCACCGATTGCTCGAAGACGCCTGCCAAATTTAATGCCCATGAGTTTAGCAGTCAATGTACTACATTCCTTTAGATCTATGCCTTGCTCCCTCATATCTGAGTAGAGCAGTTCCGCCAACGTCTCGTACCGGCACTTCTCCGCCAGTACTTGCGACGTGATTGCCGTGAACACCGTGCAAGCAGCGTTTATACCAAATGTCTTGCACATTTGTTCTCTGTAATTGAAAATTATTGTCTGTTATTATAAATGGGAGTATGTGTATGTTTGTTTCTCTTTCACGCAGAAACGGTTGGAATAATTTTGATGTTTAGTGCTCAGATAAACGACAATATCTTGTTTATGCCAAACATCGAAATCTCTTTATAATTGTAGTGAAGTGTTTAGTATGATAAGGTTACAAACAGACGGATAGAGTTACTTTCACATTTATAATATTAGTATTGCAATTGTTAACCGACTTCCAAAAAGGAGGATATATCAATACGTCGGAATTTTTTCTTTTTTTATGTATGTTCACCGATTGCTCGAAGACGCCTGAACCGATGTGGAAATATTTTTTTTGTTTCGAAGGGTATATTTCCCAGGTGGTCCCATATAATTTTTTATAGAAATCGGTCAAGCGGTTTTAAAAAAAATCAATAATAAATTATGTTTTAAAATAAATCGCTTAATCGAATATGTTATTAAAAAACTTTTTTCTTACAAATTACCTTCCTATTACGTCTACACTAAAAATGGAAAAATAAAAACTAAAAAAAACCGACTTCCAGCCACTAAAATGTAAGAAATAACTAAACCGAGGTTTTCATTTAGAAATTAGAATAGATACCTATTTAGATATTTTCGAAGTCGGTGCCAGCTGACAATATTTTAAGATATGAATATCCAATAGGTAAATATGATTTGATATGAACTCTAATTATAGTTAAAATATTATACGTCAATCTGTGATTTATTTTACGTATCGAAATATATTAGATTTGCTTTGCATCGGCTGGCACCGACTTCGAAATATACTTTCTCTCTACCTTTTGAATCCGAAGGAGAAATAAAAAAAAACATTTACCTGGCACCTATTAATCTGGCTCCAATATTCTGTCCCCTGTGTTCTGGCAGCACTGTCAGTCCACTGGACGTCAAATATTTATCCACACCGTAATGCTCGAATACATCAACTAGTTTCTCTGCCGCTACTAATGTCTTGAGTAATTTCTTCCATTGCTCTCCCTTTACCTGTAAATAATTTTTTTTTAGATCGATTAAAGAATGTCATGAATTCCAGTAATTTCAGTTTCAATTGTATGAGACGTCCATATAAAGGATACCCTTTATTACTGTTGTAGTGCGAAATTATGTATATCTTGATATTATTTTAACTAAGAAGGAAGGTCTATCTTTATATATATAATTCTTCTGTGAGTGTGTATGTCACTGAACTTCTCTCAAACGACTGGACCGATTTTGATGAAATTTTTTGTGTGTGTTCAATGGGATCTGGGAATGGTTTAGATTCACAATTTGAATAATAATTTTCATCAAAAAAAATATTAAAAAAAGTTTGAAATTTTCAAATTAAAGACGTGTAGACAGGACAACGTCTGTCGGGTCCGCTAGTCTATCTATATTGCAAGATTAATGAGAACTCCCAAATTTTAATATTATTACAATATTAGAGAATTTATCCCAGATAAAATATAGGTTGTCAATAAATAGTGATTCCACCAGTTATTATCTGTTTTGATTCCTGCTGAATATAAGCGAAGGATTTTTAAATATATTAAATATATAAAATATATTAAATATATAAAATATTTACCAGCAATCAGGTATCTAATGTTGTACAAAAATAAAACTAAGTGAGTTACAGACACATGATAACCAACAAATCATAGAAGGTGCTACTGGATGTGACGTTTAATGTTCCTTGCTACGTTTACATTTAATAACATTACATATTATGTCTGTATTTTACAAATGAGAACTTCTCTGAAATTTTGTACCAGTTCGTATGTGATCAGACCTGATATGAACTGGCAAAAGAAAAACCTTTCCGAAAATCTTCCGAAAAAAGCTAAAATTATTGCCAAATAATTGTCTTATATCATTACCGTCTCTATATCCTCTTCTTCATCATCTTTACATTTGACATACAGAATATTAAAACCGACTAATTCTTTGGGCTCGCCGTCCTCTTCAGTGAAACAACAAATGCAAATCTTCTGAGAACAAAACTCTGTCCAGTTTTTTCGTATTGTTTCTATTGATTCTTTATCTTTTGGGATATCTGTAATTACAAATTGTGATGATTATTTATAACATACGAGAGACTTTACCCTCGCTTGCCCTTACCCAAGTGAAAGGGCACCCATTGGGTGCATCTATGTATGTTACTCCAGGTGTATGTTTACACAAAATTTCATTCAAATCTGTCCAGCTGTTGGAGCATTAAGGAGTAAGAAACAAACATACATACACAAACACACACATATAAATATTTTTTATTGTAGTCTGATTAATATTGCTTTAAATAAACTTAGATTCTATTTATTTGTCTAATTTACAACGTTTTCTTTTATTCGTCTATATGCCCTCGCCATAACTGAGAATACTTTTGATCAAGGCTTTAGTGCGCTTTCACAAGCATAACAAGAAATTTCTCTCATCGAAATTGAATTTCATCACCTAAGACTTGGCACAGTGGCTCATCTCGTAAGAACGTCTCCTGCATCAGGTCGAGACACCGCTCTCTGTCCGACTCGGCCATGTCCCGTATCTGGTACCTGGAGAAAAGAAAATCTTAAGTTTAATGTAATCGAACTACTATTATAAATGCGAAAGTTTGTTTGTGTGTTATCACTCCTTCATATTGAAAGGGCTAGACAGTTTTTGATTAATTTTAATACCTACATAGGTAGAATATAAACTGGAGCAACTCATATCCTCCTGACCGATTTAAGTCACGGTAGCTATCTGACTGAGACAAGTGCATTTGCCCAGGAGATATTATAGTGTATAAATATAAATGCTCCGTATATTCCTGTTACTAATAAACTTAGATAGGTAGTAAAGACGATTCGACAGGACCAGTAAGAGACCCGCCCGGACTCTCTAGGATCTTGAGACGAAAGAAGAAGAAAAAGTGAAACCCTGCCAACTTCCTAACTCTAGGCTGTAAATTAGAATTTCTTGACAGAAAAACTCAATAATTATACTTGGCCCCGGCACTCGAACCCAGAACCTCCAAATCTAGCTTTATATACTAGGTAGCCACTAGACCATCGAGGTATTTAAAGTAACACAAGGACTACTGTTAGACAGCTATGGATGAGAAGCAAGAATGTTTTGCGACTTTATGAACGTTAAACAACCCTGATCCCCGTTATATATATTTTGAGGATTGATACTTTGTATCTTTTTAAACAAAATGTGATGATAATATTTGTTTGTCTGTCTATTTACCCACAACTCAAGAACAGCTAGGTTTATTGCTCCCTTATTAGTTGATAGTAGATCATAGTAAGCTATGGTTGCCTCATATCTGTGGTGTACAGTGGCCTAATTGCTCTTGCACTTAGGTTTTTCCTGTTTCCGCCCATAGGGGGACACTAAACGGACTGAATTACTTTATATATATATATATATATATATATATATATATATATATATATATATATATATATATATATATATAGCATACAAGACATCTGCCTTGTATTGTTTAATATTAAGGAAGAGAAGAACATAAAAGTATATAGTATAGAATAATACGAGGTATAAAACTCACATCTTCCCTGGTATACCATCCCTGTCCTTTCCTTTAAACCTGCCCCACACCTGCCCCACTGGAACGCTATCAGGCCTCTTCCAGAGCATCACCAGTCATCTGAAACATACGGAAATAAAATATTGGTTATGTATCTCTCTATATTTCTCTCTCTCTCTCTCTCTTGACTTGTAGTGAGAGGAAGATAAAGAAAGATATTGACTTTATTTGTTTTTAATTAGTGGATGTAAATATTTGAAGTCTTCAAATCATCTGCCCATTATGTTTTAACGTTTAGTATAGATTTCTTAAAGATTAGATATTTTCCCGCGGTAAAAGGTACCCTATATGTTGACCTGGATAACCAGCTATCATCATACCAAATTTCATCAAAATCTGTCGAGTGGTTTTCCCGAGATGCGGTCACAGACAGACAGACAAAAATCCTAAAAACTATAGATCTGGCCTCTGCATGGATAATAATGATTGTTTCAATAAGATTTTCCAAAAAAATACTTAAATCCAAATTCGACTCAGAATTTTATTATATGTATAAATATGTATATAAATATTAGAAATAAAGCTTTGTTTTTTTTTTTAAATAGAGGAAAAATTCTGTCTACTGTGAAGTACAAGTTTTAATCGTTTGAACTTTAAACAAATAAAAACTAATGCGGACGATTTGTTGAAATTTAAATACGCGTATTTTATTTGATGTTTTTATGTTTGAGTAGAAATATGTTAATCTAAAATCTTTTAATCAATATATCATACATAATAAAAACAAAAAACCTGATGACAAAAACAATCAAGCGTGTTTTCCTTATAGCTGGCAAACACGTTGAAAAGTACTTCAAAACAATATTATGATAAAGGTTGTGTGAGTCAACGATGCATACCTATAATAAAATATTATTTTTACTTGTTGCTATTTAGGAAAATAGTTAAAAAAACTCAGGAATTGCAACGAGTGAGGAGGAGGTACTTCTTAGTCGAAGTCGGTCAAACATCGAACCGAGACCTATTGATAAGAAATAACTAATCAAAATAATAATCTATCACACCCTTATCTATATATCTATACTTATAGAAAACTAGCAATACCCGTGGCTTCGCCCGCGTTCAAACTTCCGATCGCTACCAAACGTCACAGGATCACCCGCTGGGCTAATCTTAAGATTGCCTGAAAATTTCATCAAAATCGCTCCAGCCGTTTTAAAGTCCATAGGGAACATACATACAAATCGATTTTTATATGTATACATAGATTTGATTGAAGTGTTTGTAATTTGATAATACAACAAATATGTTTATTTCAACGATATATGTAAGTACCTTTTTTTTTTTTTTTTTTTTTTTTTTTTTTTTTTTTTTTTTTTTTTTTTTTAACGTTGGGAAATGCATTTACGCACGACGTGTGGGACTCACCGGCGTAATACAGCCAGTACTACCCACTAAAACCCAACAAAACCTTCCCCCGTCTTAATGGGGCGTCGCAGGATCGCTTACGCATTCAACTACGACGCCCCGACGGCAGGTCTGCCGAAGCAGACCACCACAACCATGGGGTTGCTCCACGGTCCACTCTGCTATCAGAGAAGTACCAGGAGCAACCCGCAAGGTACACCGCCCCCCGAAGGGGGCCACCACCCACCGCCCACCGAAGTGGGCAACCTCCCTGTGCGTTTCTTAGCTTCGCGCCCGGTTGGATTGCCGGGCACTACTGAGCCCCCCCACCACGACAAGGTGAACGCACGTTGGGGGGGATATATGTAAGTACCTATAACAACCTTTTCAACTGATTTTATGAGACTTTTACTGTGGTTTGGATCTGGGAAAGAACGTTTACATTAAGTCTTTAGGCATATTTTCATCAGGAAAAGGAAACAATACACGATGATTGCAGAAAAAAGCTTTAAGTGCTTCAGGCACGAGTTTAGTGAAGGCCGAATCGAATTTCTAAACTAAAATAATCGAGATATGCTCGTCAGAATCGATTCAAATTAACATTTATTGGATTATTAGAACAAAAACACTTACATACAGAGTCACTTTACTTCAACTAAATCTATTTCTTATAATATCACGATTACTATAACCTCCTCCTTCGCTGAATACGAAAACGCAAATGAGCAATATGTTTATCAACTCTCGGAGTACTCGTGGGTTATCGCAAAAAGAACCTTATCTAATGGTGATAAAGACTCAAAAAGGTTATAACGAAAATTTGTGATTGCGAAACTCGTGCGCGTTTCCATTGTAATTTGTATTTTATTTTGTATGAATCCTACTAATATTATAAATGCAAAAGTCTTAGAGGATGTATGGATGTTTGTTACTCTTTCACGCAAAAACTACTGAATGGAATTTAATGAAACTACGATAATATAGCTCATACTGCATACATAAGAATAATACATAGGCTTTTTATCCCGGAAAAATGTACGATTTCCGTGGGATATATTTGTTTTTTTTTCTAGAGTTGAACCCGATCGAAACGAGGAAGGGCCGCTAGTAGCACTATAGTCTAATGGGCAGAACCATAGAGACGGGCATGTAAGTAATGTTCTCATTATACTTTCTTAGATTTACGCGAATGTTTGACATTATTAAATAAAACTATCTTTTCGGATTATTTCGCGGATTTATTTAGATTTTTGGTTCCCGACGTTTCGAATGCTTTACAGCAATCATGGTCACGGGAGAGACTATCCCGTGGACGCTACGAAGATAGTTTTATTTACAGTTGATACATTGAAAAATATATGCAGAAGTGGACTTATTTCGTTTCGATTGTCGCGTGTTAAAGCAAAACAAGAATTTCAAATACCTATTAGGAAATTTCATCTCCTGAATATCTGGTAAATAAGATTTTTAACAAAATTTTCAATGTACAAAAAGATTTCATTACGATTTTATTATAAGTATAGATAAAATTAGTCTTGACTGGATGTATGTCATTGACACTCATTCAGTCAAGACAAACACTGTTTGCGCAACTTTCAAGGTCGCGGATGAATAGAAGCTACTCGAATTTCATATCAGTAACAAAAAACGTGTTTTTAATTTTAAATAGTTATATATTTTAGATAAAACTGCTAACGTAGAACTATACGTATTTGACCGGCTTGTAAAGTTTTTTGCATTCTAATTAGATATAAAGCAGTAAGCACTCAGATCTCTATAAAAGTGTTTTTCTTCTTTTAAATTGCCATCATTCAACATGCTCATTGAAAAATCCTCACAATTTGACCTGATAAAAATAAGAGCTCGAGCCATTTGAGTAAATTATTCTTCATTTTCAACCGACTTCAAAAAGGAGGAGGTTCTCAATTCGACTGTATTTTTTTTTTATGTTTGTTACCTCAGAACTTCGTCATTGTAAACCCACTTCCATTTAAATCTGCAATATAAGTAACAGTTGTTAGTATAGTTTATTATTATGCATTGGAGTGAAAAGTTTAAATAAATATAAAACAATACCAGTTGTGTAATGATATATCATTTACTAGCGAATCAACTTCACATAGCTCGGATCTTTATGTGACTAACAATCTATGTGTTACTCCAACTCATACTCTGTGTACTACATTACATCCTAAAAGGTGCAGCCGTTTCTGCGTGAACGAGTAACAAACATACATACATATAAATTTTGACATTTATTATAATTGTACGGTATCGTACAATTTATGTTATAAATATTATATGTATCCCGATATGAAGTGTAAAATGGAAACAGTTAGTGTTCGGGCGCTCGCCGCGTGCATACAGACGGACAGACGTTTTACATATTGGCCTTGATCACTTGATCATTGAGGAATAATTGAGTTTAGTAGTAGTATTTTTAGTTAATGGATATTTTTACTAGTTTAAACTCCCGTCTTTGTTTATTGTTTTCAATGTTTTTTATAAAATCTATACTATAAGAGGTTGAATGTCTGTACATAGAAAAAAAAATGCTAAAAACCGAGTCAGGGGGATGTAAGAAGACAAATAGAACAAATCCAGATTTTTTCCAATTTTTTTGTTTCTCTGTCTGTTTGTCTGTTTGTACGGGCTAATCTCCGAATCTATAGGACCGATTTAAATGAAATTTTGCATGGTGGTACCTTATATCCCCGGGCAACATCTTAGATACTTTTTATCCTGGAAAATTAAATAGTTCCCGTGGGATAGTTAAAAAACTATAATAACTTATACAACTTATGCACCTAATTTAGTAAAATTTAACATTCTGACACCTTATATTGCCGGTCAACAAAAGGTTACTTTTCATCCGGGAAAAATGAACGGATCCCGTGGGAACTAATAGATCTCTATTAGTGTTTTAGGGTGAGCCGCTAGTTATATCATAATGCTCTAGATTACGTACGAGTATGTATAAACAATACAGATTGTTAGATTATATCTCTTTCTCTCGGAGTCTCGTGAATTTGTCAAAGTAAATGTATTAGTTGTAGAGCCCTCGTCATGTTTTATATCATTACTAGCTGACCCGACAGACGTTGTCCTGTCTACACGTCTTCAATTTGAAAATTTCAAACTTTTTTTAATATTTTTTTTGATGAAAATTATTATTCAAATTGTGAATCTAAACCATTCCCAGATCCCCTTGAACACACACAAAAAATTTCATCAAAATCGGTCCAGTCGTTTGAGAGAAGTTCAGTGACATACACACTCACAGAAGAATTATATATATAAAGATTATTTATACTTAATAAGCACTGTCTGTAACAAGTATATAATTATCTTTGTGACGTTTAAATCTTTAGTCTCTCCCGTGACCATGATTGCTGTTCAGCATTCGAAACGTCGGGACTCGGAAACCACACGTTTAATGTTCAAACGACCATTTGATGTTGCTATAGGTCGTCGCCTTAGTGCCTATTTGTTCAAACTACCAATACTTGTTGTACTTTACAGTAGAAAGATCTTTCCTCTATTTTAAAAACAAAACTTTATTTCTAAGACTTATATACATAAAATACACTTTTCCGGCTTTTTAAAGTAAAATGTGAGTTTTAAACCAATAGAATTGACATTGACAACTCTTTCTGAAAATTGGTCGTTTGGACTAATAAGCACTGAGACGACGAGGCGGTTA